GCTCTTTGTCCTGCCCTTGGGATCCCACTGTCAGCTTTCCTCCGAGCAGCACACAGGGCGTAGGCTCTGGCTGAGCCATAGTCATTCAACAAAGGGGTATTGAGCCCTCCCTGTGCATTGGACAACTTTCTGCGTATTATGGAGGTTCCAGTGAGATCCCTTTTCATTAGGGGCTGGGCAGATGGCGATCATCCCGAAAGACGCATTACCGAGCTGGCACTGGCCAGCCCTGGCAGGTCCACAGGGCTAGCCAGTGTGGTTGGTGAACAGCAGACAGACAGGGTAGGTCCTCTTGAATCTCCATAGGTCCCCATTTTATCAGTTAAAAATATGGATATGGATATCTGGATAGATATAGGAGAGGGGAGAGGTAAAGATCTTAGTTCAGAACTTATTTTCTTCGTTGGTTTGAGAACATCCTCCTGACCTTTGGTTCTGGGTTTGAGGTGAGCTCTGGTTCCATGGAGAGAGACATTTCTTCTTCGGGTCTGTGGTTAGTTGTGTCGGCATTTCTTGCCTGTGTTATGGCAGGCCGCGGCATCATCCTTGGATTAGGCCGAGAGCTGAGAAAAGAGGGATCTAATTTTTACCACAGCTTATACCGCAGGAATAAGATTGGCAGTTCTTGAATGGAGGGTTCTGGAGGTGTCCTCTGGTGACTTTTCTGGCTGGGTTTTTGCTGAGTAAGGGGCAGGAAGGGGTTGCTATGGTTTCGTAGCTCATCGGTCCCAAAGCCACCAGCTCTGCTTTGGTCCTGGCCCTTCTCCTTCCCCATTCTTTTTTTTTTTTTTTTTTAAGATTTTGTTTATTTATTTGACAGAGATCACAAGTGGGCAGAGAGGCAGGCAGAGAGAGAGGAGGAAGCAGGCTCCCCGCCGAGCAGAGAGCCTGACGCGGGGCTCGATCCCAGGACCCCGGGATCATGACCCGAGGTGAAGACAGAGGCTTTAACCCACTGAGCCACCCAGGCGCCCCTTCCTTCCCCATTCTGATGAGTGGCTAACTTTCGGGCATAGAGTGAAGGCTGCTGAGTGTGAGCCCACCCAGGAGCAGAAGAGTTTGGGGTTCAAGCAGCCTCCCCTTTGTGAGGCCTGATGCCCTGCCCAGAACCCCTCCTCAGCAGCTCACAACCACTGGCCCAGCTTGGAAAGGGCCAAGGCAGCCTGGTTAGTGCCGCTGTTTTTTTAAGCTAATGAGGGCAGAGTGTGAGCCACAGGCAATGATGCTGGGATATTAACTGTGACAGGAAGCTTGATCATAATTATCTTAACGAGGATAGGGTTAATTACAGTGGAAACTTAAAAGTTCTCTCTGTTTGAATCCGCTAGAGCTGAATGCGTTGTGATGTTTTGTCATTTTGATATGACTTTGGAAAAGGCACTGGGACTCTCCCAGCAGCCGCAGCGGCTCTTCGGGGAGCCCAGCCGGAGAGCCCTGTGAGTGAGGTAACCTAGATGGTACCTGTGGGTGACATCATGGGCAGCTCTCTTGCTGGGGAAGCAGGAGGCAGGCAGCTTGTGATGGGCTTCCAGGGTGCTGATTAGGTTTCTGGAGCAAACCACCTGCCACAGGGCAGACCTCACACCCTGGTCTCCTGCCTGCCCTTGCCATCTCTTCACTGATCTGGGAAAACCTCACTCCAGCTCCCTGGGCTGAGCTAGTGGGTGAAGACTTGTCCTCCCACTCTAGCCTCTGACCACCACAGACGTGTCTGCCTCGCCTTCCCAGCCCAGCCCTCAAACATCTGCAGACTGTAAACCAGGCGGAGGACGAGTACTCTGGAGTGGCAGTCCCCCCCACCCCACTCCCCACCAGAGCTCTTGGGTCTGAAGTGCATTTTGCTGTCCACACACAAGGTGATAGCCAAGAAATTGCAGTCCTGTCATCTTTTCCTTATAGCTGTCCCATTAGACAGCAAAGATCTGTGTGGGTCCTTAAAGCCTTGTCTGCCTTGTCATTTTGTTTAACAGCACACACCTCTTTGCACAGGCGTCTTGTATATAGGGCTGTGAATGCAAAGACTGATGCAAAAAATTTCTTTACTCCTTCCACGAAAAGAGCAACAACCGTAACAACAAAAGTCACATTTTCAAAGAACAAAAAAATAAAGCCTCCCCCAAGTGTGTGTGTGTTGGCCTCCACGTGCCAGCCAAGCCCCAGAAATCCTGCCCTCTCCAGTTTTACCCTTCACTACCCTGTCTCCTGTCCCTAGTCCCTCAGCTCTGAATTTAGCTGATTAAATCACCAAGTGCACACTATACCGATGACATGAAGACAGGGATTTATTAATTAGCAACCCCCCACATAGCATGATTCCCTTTTAACTGAGCAGCTAATAACATTATGGCAAAAGGAATCTTACAACCAGACAGGTGACAGGGGATTTGAGCCTGAACTTGCCCCTCTCTTCTGTGAGGTCCCCTTCAGAATGGAGCTCTGCCCCAGCGGCTGCCCCTGAGAAAGGCAGCCCCGAGGGCACTCCCTCTGGTGTTCTCCCTCTACGTGTTTGTCCCTCTTCGTGCTGCGTCATTTTGTGTTTTGTCTCCCCCCAGCTCTCTTGGAAGGGAGCTTTCTTTGGCTTGCCAGTTGCCAACCATTTGCTGATTCTCATGATAAGAGTATTATATTTGCATAACATAACTCGGGAACAATGTGTATTTGGATGCTGCCTTTGACCAGAGCCCAACTGATGTTTGTGGACAAAGGACTTATTAGCCATCCATAAGGTGCCCTGAAGGGAGGTGGCCTTAACTCCCCTTGTGGTAAACAGGGCCTCCTTGTCCTGAAAAGCACTTTTGAATCATCACTCACTAACCCCAATGCGGGAAGGGACTTCAGGAAAGGTCCGAAGTTTCCCTGCAGAAGCCAGACTGGCCGCAAACCTCAGCCTATTTGCTCCTCTGTTCCACAGCCCCCCACCCCCTGCATCCAGAACACACCTCCTCCCAACCCCCACCATGCCCGCTAAGGTCACAGCTACCAGAAAAATCAAAGAATGGAAGGAGGAAGGCGAGGAAAGGAACCATCATCTGCTATTGACATGTTAGTCTTCTTTGGCTTGTGTTCCCTAAGATCCCTAAGATCTTAGGGATCCTAAGATCCCTACTCCTAAGATCCCTAAGATCCCTAAGAGCTGGAAGCAGCCCAGAGCCGGAGAGCTCAGCTGGGCTGTTGATAAGCCCACGTTCTTACTTGGAGTAAATGGTACAGCTGAGGTAAAGTCCCAGAGTCCCAAGTTCCATGTGTGTGAGTTGTGTTTTGCCTCCCTGAGACGTGAGGAAGAAAAGAAAGGAGGAAGAAATGAAACACAATGACTCCATTGACCCTTATCCCTAAATGTTAAGTGGTGTCGCCTTCCCACCATGGAGCAGGTAGTGCTGGTCTGAGGAGTTAGGGTTGGTCAGGGTGCTGGGCCCCAGAAGGGGGGGTGTCCTCTGGGGGTGAGTCAGGCAGGAATGGGACATGCTGAGGGAGCTCTGGGCCCGGTGGGGTCCGGGGATTCCATGACTCCCAATCCCCGTTCCACCTCCCAGGCACTGACTCCCTGTTGTGGAGTCCGCTTGGCCCAGGTCCCTCAAGGGAGATGCAACTGTCCCGAGAAAGCCTTGGTGCTAAAGTTCACACTCCCATCAGACGTGCAGACGCTGCACACACAAGCAGCAGAGTCTGTAATGAAAGTGCTATCGGTAAATGAATAAATAGTGTGGACAACATCTCCCTGGTTCGTCACATTTTATAGCATAGCCGGGAGATCCCATGCGAGTCGGCCCTCTGGTCGACGTCGTAGCTCAGCTGTCAGCCTGTGCAAGCTCAGCACGGCTCTGGGCTCTGGCAGGTGAGGGAGCTGGGAGTACGTGTGTCTGTGTGAGTCCCTCCACCGGGCGGCTTTCTTTAATTAATGTTTGGGAGCTGCTGGCCTGGGCAGCACATGCGTACAACTGCCCCTCCCAGCCCCCACCCCACCTCCACCCCTGCCCCCCACCCCAACACTCCTTAGCCCATAATGTTAAGAGTTAACTTTGAGCTAAGTGTAAAAACAAGGCTATTTTTCCCTTTCTGATACTTTTTTTTTTTTCCCCTGAGCCGGGTACTTAATTCTTTCAGATGCTTGATTATTTACTGCCTTGACATCTACATTGCCGCATTCCACGCTTCTTTCAAAAATAAAGTGAGAAATCCACTTTCCATAAATTAAAACCGTAACTTCAAGCCGGGAGCATTGAAACAGAAATTCCCGCAACTCTTTCCTGAAACCACCGCCCGCACCCCTCCCAACAAAAACAAAAACAAAAAGAAAAATCATGAAAGAAAAAGAAACAGCCCTCTCCTGCTGGAGCGATCATGTGCTTCGGCAGATGCCTCTGCCTTTTGGGGCAGCCACAGGGACACTGGGCAGAAGCAAATGAAGTGATTAGTAAAGAAAAAAAGCAGAGGGGGGAAAAAAGTCAAAGGCGGTGAAGGGAGAGAAAGGAAGCCTTCCTCGCCTTTTCCCGGACTGTGCAGAGGAGAACCGCGAAGAAATGATACTTGAAGTTATATTTATTATTGTAAGAGGGGTATGATATTTCTGGGCAGGAATGATGGATGACAACTTAAATTTGTGTCCAGGGAATGAAGGTGAACTGTGACAGAGTTATTTATCTTGGGAATGGAGGTTAGGGTCAGCTGAGGCTGGGTGCCTGAAGGCACAAGACATTGACAAATTCATCCTGCAGGCCGTATCTGAAGCCCTTTGTTTTGGATCCTGGCTACTCACTAAGTGACCCTCATCCTTCATGTTGGCAATGCGTGAAGGATGCGGTGAGTGCCAGCGGCCCCTTTCTCCCCCGCCGCCCCCACCCCGGCTCCCGCTACTAATTCTTGTCATTCACTTTGCTGACAGGCACCAAGCCCAAACTATTCCCAGTCCTGAAAGGGAAGGTTAAAATATTTATTTCGGCTCATAATGGCCTCCCTGATTTAGTGCAGGATCATTTTTCCTGTTGCCTTTGTCATTGCAGGTCACTGGAAGGACTGAGCGCGTTCGGGAGCCTGGAGGAACTCATCTTGGACAACAATCTGCTCGGGAATGACCTCGTGTTGCCAGGGTTACCCAGGCTCCATACCTTAACCCTCAACAAGAACCAGATATCCTTGGCTCTGTCCGCTGCCTCCACTCCCCGCCCTGCCCCGCAGTGGTCCCTGCAGGCACCCCCCCTTTACCCTTCCCCCGCCCCATACAAATACCTGCAAAATGTCAAATGAGTTTTATGTGTCAGCTAAATTAAAGTATGTGAAATGCAGTCCATGGGCAGACAAAGCGTTCTGTCTTCTGGCACTCGGGACACTTCAGAGTAATTTATTATAGGTCATTCATAAATGAAATGCACCATTATATCTTCCTGTTGCTCCATTTTAGTGTAGAGATCTAAGTTATGGCTGTGAAGAAATCTTTTTAATAGATAAAAATAGAGAAAGAAAATAATGTCACTGCTGCCCAGAAGGCAGAGCCAGGTTCTGTTTGCTTGGGCCTCTGTGGGAGGGCGACCTCTGGTGGGAAGTCCGGGGTGGTGCCTCTAAGAGAACCTGGCCTTCACGGAGGTTTCTGGAAGGCTCTGGTGCAGGCTGGGGGAAGAGTTCTGGCAAAGGAGAGGGGGAAGGGGCAAAGATGTGAGATATGTGTGAAGTCCAGGCGTAGCCCTGCCCTCCATGGTGTTTACTGGGATGATGAGAGAAGTCAAACAGAGCCGTTTTATTGCGTGCCTTCTCCTGAAGTCGGTGAGGACCTAGCCAGCCTGGGATGAGGCTCAGGGGGATGAAAGGTTCTGGGTTCTACAGAGAGGCTGAAAATGGAATCAGAAGCCTTCTGCGGCGTTAGGCAGCTAGCTCCTCTGTACAGTGTGGGTCTCCCTGCTGCCACAGTGTGAGCTGAGAGGCAGGGAGTGTTGTCTGTTTTGTTGACTCCTGTATCCTTCACACCTAGAATAATGGAACTGAGGTTCGGTGAATGTTTGTGGGATGAATAAATGAAAGAATGATTATCATCAGCTGTTCTTTATTGAGCTGTTCTTTATTGATCCTGTGGGTCAGACATGGTGCTGGGTAATATTAAGCAAATTATTTTTTGTTCTTACCAAACCCTGGCAGAAGATGTCCATTTGTCTGAATGAGGTAAGAGGTGAACTGTAAACCCAAAGCCGGACATTGAACAGAATGCTAGGTCCTGGATTTAGTCTCAACTGTGGCCAAGTCCAAAATTCTTTCTATTCTGTTCTGTTGCTTCAGAGTTGAAGTCCACTCACCTTGCTTTATTAGTGGAACATTTCAGATCTAGAGTAGCTTAATCACTTGCTCCTATTCACATGGTAAGTTAGAAGTAGAAAATGGATCAGGGCATTTTCCCTAGAGTGTGAAAAAAAAAGACCAAACACCCAGATATATATGTTACATTTACCATGTATGTGTATGTCTGCTTTAAGAATGTTAGGCCAGACCATTTATTACCCTCTGGTTATATTTCAAGTCATAAGACAGTATTTTCCTTATTAGGTAAAATATACTACCATGGCCATTATACATTGGCACTTTACTAGAAGTTGAAGGAAAGGGCCTACAGGTTAGTATTAGTCTTTACCATAATGCAATTTTTTTTAAAGATTTTATTATTTGATAGACAGATCACAAGTAGGGAGAGAGGCAGGCAGAAAGAGAGAGGGGGAAGCAGGCTCCCCGCTGAGCAGAGAGCCCGATGCGGGGCTTGTTCCGGGGACCCTGGAATCATGACCTGAGCTGAAGACAGAGGCTTAACCCACGGAGCCACCCAGGCGCCCCTACCATAATGCAATATTGATGGATTTTTTTTTTTTCCTCTCCTATTCTTTGGTCAACCAAGTTTCCTAGTCATTGTTCGAAAACTATTACAGTGTGTCTTATGGCTCCCTTGACTGTCTTAGGTGATCAGTTGGATGATATTATCAAATCAAAGAACAAAAGGATTATTAGTATAGAATTTGGGGCCCAGTGCTGATATCCTGTGTCCCACACGGATGTGAAGTACTAGCCTTTGGACTTGGGTTCATGAGTCAGCTTAATCACGTTCAGCTATGTGGCTGTGGACAGGTCTGCCTCTATTTGTCTGGAAGTCTCTATTTGTCATTTTGTATGTATGTGTGACATCATGGCTTTCACTTGCCTATTAAGAGAACTGGCAAAAAAGAAAAAAAGGAATGTATGAAAGACTTATTTGAATGTTGGAATCAAAGTGCTATGATAATGTGAGCAACACAGGTTTCTGGGTAAAAAAGCAGCTGCCTCTGCCCTGGGATGTTGTCACGTTCGCAATACAAGAAACAGAGTCAGGAGAAAGATTTCCCGAAAAGCCCACACACCAACCCGTAAGGACTTTGTCTGGTAAATGCTGTACAATTGCTAATCCCAAACTCAATTCCTCTTCTCCCTCAGCACACTTCCTGGCCGGTTCTCTGTCGCATTAATTGGTGCATACTAAGAAACGTAAGTTCATTTCAGCACAAGCCTGAGAAAAATAATTAAAAGAAGAGCATGCCAACTGTGAAAGGATGTCAGTTCACATAATCCCAGTTTGCAGAGGAACTCCTGGGTGATTTTTTTTTAATCAACCTCTGATTTGTATAATGAAAAGTATTTTCGGGGTACCTAAGTGCCCAAAATGTGTAGTTTATAGTATTGCTTTCCTCTGTGACTGTTGTCATTTGAGGAGACATGGAATAAATATAGATGTAAACATTGATGATTAACAGAGTACCTGATGAGTCTCATGAGGTCAGACTAATAAGTAAGATTCCTGCTTCATGTGAATTTGCTAAGCATTATTGTCTCCCATTTTAGAGGGCTCATTTTCATAACCGGCACTGAATATGCTGAAAATGCACAGGAATTCATTCTGGATTTTTTTTTTTTTAAGTTTCCACATGAAGGAGAGATCATATGACATTTGTTTTGATCTGGCTGACGTCACTTAGCGCAATGCCCTCAAAATTCATCCATGTTGTGACAAATGACAAGGTTTTATTCTTTTTTATGGCTAAATTATATATATATTATGTAAGATGTTGAGCATCTTTTCATGTGTCTATTGGCTACCTGTATGTCTTCTTTGGTCTATTCAGATCTTTTGCCCATTTTTAAATCAGATTGTTTTTTGCTATGGAGTTATGTGAGTTTTCCATTTATTTTGTTTTCTATTATTATCATTTTGAGAGAGAGAGAGAGCAATAGCAGGGGTGAGGGCAGAGGGAGAGGGTAAGAGAATCCTCAAGCAGACTCCCCACTGGGCATGGAGCCCGAGGCTGGGCTTCATCTCACAACCCTGAGATCATGACCTGAGCCAAAATCAAAAGTCAACTGACTTAACTGACTGAGTCACCCAGATGCCCCAGTTCTTCATATATTTTAGAAATTACTTATCAATTATATGATTTGTAGTCATTTCTTTCCATATACTAGGTTGTCTTTTCATTTTTTAAATGGTTTCCTTTGCTGTGTAGGAAGTTTCTCATTTTTTTCCCTTCAAGGTTTTTTTTTTGTTTTGTTTTGTTGTGGTTTTTTTTTGTTTGTTTGTTTGTGTTTTTTTTTTATTCCAGCTAGTTAACATACAGTGCAATATTAGTTTCAAGTGTAGAATTTAGTGATTCATCACTTACAACACCCAGTGCTCATCATAAGTGCACTCCTTAATCCCCATCACCTGTTTCATCCATCCCCCTGCCCACCTCCCCTCCAGTAACCATCTGTTTGTTCTGTATAATTAAGAGTCTGTTTCTTGTTTTCTCTCTCTCTTTTTCCCCCCTCCATGTTCGTTTGTTTTGTTTCTTAAATTCCGCATATGAGTGAAATCATATGGTGTTTGTCTTTCTCTGACTGACTTATTTCACTTAGCATTATAGTCTCTAGCTCCATCCATGTTGTTGCAAATGGCAAGATTTCATTCTTTTTGATGGCAGAGTAATATTCCATTGGATATGTGTTTCTTATTTTTAAAGGAATGAATTGGGCCAGAGGATGGTTGAATTCTCAGTGTTGCTATCACTAGAGATTAGCAAGCTTCTTGGCTCTACAGAGCTGAAGGATTTTCTTAGTCTTTGGTTGAGTCCCTTTCCCTTTCCAATCCTCAGCTTCTCCAATCTGTAGTGGTAATGCTGAGGGAGAAATGATAGTGGCAGGGGAGGAACTGAAGCAGAAGGCAATGGTGTAGCTATAAAGCTGGCTAGGTATATTGCTGTGCTGATGGAGAGTACTTTGTTACCCACTGATAAAAAAAAAAAAAAGATACTAATTGGCTCTTTCAGGATGTAGCATGATTTCTCTCTCCTCTGGTCTTCCTGCATGATCATGAAGATTGGTTTAATTTCCCCACATACTTGACCCAGAAGTCAGAGAATGCAAGCCAAGTAAAAGCAGGAGTAACACCATATGGCATTCTCTTAACCTAATATTTCTGACTGTACCTTTCCAGCCAACTGAGTCTCCTATTGTCTTGTGAAAGTACTGTGGATCTTCTAACAGTTACTATGTTCCAAACTGCTATTGCTACTCCATGAAATGCTTTGGACTTGGGCTCCATCAGCCTGGATGAATAATAACCTACCTCAAAAGTTAGTGGCTTAAAACAACAACTGTGTTCTTTGTTTATAATTCTGCGTGTCAGCTGTTTGGGCAGGGCTCAGCTGGATGGTTCTTCTGTGGATCTTGCTTTGTGTTCTTAGGCAGCTACAGTTATCTAGAGGCCTGGGTGGGATTGGGTGGTCTGAGATGGCCTCACTCATATGTCTGGAAGTTGGTCCTGGTTGTTGGCTGAACAACATGCCTCCAGTAGGCTAGCACAGGATTCTCTATATGGGGCAGGGGCTCCCAGAGCAAAGCCTGAATGTACAAGTACTTTTCAAGCCCTATTTGCATCTTGGGTGTTGCTGCCCTATAGCCAAAGCAAGTCACATACCAAATGTAGAGCCAGTGTGATAGGGGACTATACAGGTGTGTATACAAAGAGGCATGCCTCATTCCTATAACAATCCTACACACGGACCTTGATGTCTTATCTCTTTAAGAATTTATCTCACATTTGTAATAGAGAGACCTAGAATCAAGTAACTGTTGACCTTCTGCAAAGG